TATATATATTTAGATAAATACATACACACACGTATGTTTGCATGCATATATAAATATACACACATATACATACAAACATACAAATATATATATATATACATACACACACACATATATAATTAATGAGTGTTGGATATATATATTATATCTATAGGTAATACAGATATTCAGCACTCTGTAAACTCTAGACTTTAGGTCTTTCCTAGTCTTTTTGAACTATTTAAATAAGTATTCATCAACAGTAGCTTATCAGATTTGTTTCTTGCGGTCAATGTATTAACTGTACCATGGAATAAATTACAGGAACTGGGGTTTAATTAATGCTCTTTTAGAATATTTTGGAATTATTTCAGCAAAACAACTATTGGCCAGACAACTGAGTTTAACCTCCACATTTTTTACAAAGTGAAGACAGAGTAAGGCAAAGTAGCTTTCCCAGTAATTCCACTTTAGCTAGGCTAGGATTAAAAGACAAAGTGCCAAGTATCCTTTCCTATGATCTCCTAACAATTTAGAAAGTGCTTTAAGGGCATCTCGCTATTCTGTGTTCTCTATTAGCACCATTAGGAGATGATTCCTTTCTGAATGAGGCAAGTAGGCAGCCACTTTCAATGTTTGAATGACAGATACAAGGTACTGAGAGGGAGATGACGAGACACATGGACACATGGTTCAAATTCTATATGATACGTGTTTTATAATAAAAAAAAGTTATAGTTTAAGTACAAACAAAACATCAGTTGAGTACCTGAGATGGAGTGCACAGTGGTGAAGAAAAATGCAGGCAAGCCTTTTAAAAATCACAGATAAGGACTATTTTTCAGACAGACTATGCTTACATCATCGTAAATGCGTATCAGCCTGACTGAGGTGGTATGTTGTACAGGAAAATGAGTAAAAGATGTCATTAGCATGAGCTAAAATAAATCGAGGCCCTGGTGATCTTTTTTAATGGATGAGTGAAAATAAAAGAAAAAGAAAATGATACTCGGAAATGCATAATGACCTGTTAACAGATGACTTATTTTGAAAGGGTCATTAAATCCATTGCAAAAAAAGGCTGCCTCAGAAGGTTAAGATAAAATAGAAGGAACAGAGACACTTGGGAATAGGAAGAAAGATGCAAAAGAACAAATTCACATCAACCAAGTCCTTGACTGGAAAGAACACAGTGACATTCGAAACTGCTGACAGTATCGCTCTACAACTTATGAATGCCTGAGGAAGCAGCTCAGCCCATCATAATCACCCTGAATTTATCCCTGTGAGGACGCTTCACCAGGTGTTTGTTTCTTGTGTGTGCGTTGTGTTTTTTTCTCTACCCATGAAATGATAAATCCAGGATGAATGAAGGGGGAACAATTCCTTCCTGGAGTGTGGTTTCTTTGCCCCATTTCATTGCTGCACTCATACATTTTTTAAAGATGAGTAGGAGAGGCCTTGCTCGTCACTGCTAGACCACCTGTGACTTCTCTTCACTGGCATGGCCACCTGAAGCTGCTTCCAGAACCTGCCCTGTGGATATTTGGATTTCTCCCCTTTCCATTTAATGACTGTGAGCACCGTCTTAGCCCTCTTCAGCTCTTTCACCTTCATCTCCTTCACAGCTTTGTACTGCACTAAAATGACGTTGATGTTGCCCCGGGAGGCCATGTTTTCTAGGCCAGCCTTGAGCTCCAGAAGGGCTTGGGTTCCCTGGAGCACGTAGTTGGGGCTTAGGACAACCAGGAGGCGTCTGCTTTTCTTAATGAAGCTCAAGGTCTCATCTGTGACAACTGGGAAAGAAAACACCATGGGGGTTAGTGTTTGCTAAGAAAACTCCAAAAGTATGGGGGACTGATGAGTAAATTTAGGGTACCTCACAGTAAAAGGCTGAGAACTAATGCAGAACTTCTATCAACAAAACGTAGAACAGTGTACATTCCTTTAACCCAATCACTCAGTTCGTAAAATGCTGCTCTCATCCAGAAGAATACAAACCATATATATACTTCAAATCCAGAAAAGAATTCCAGAGCAATAGAATAAAAAAATAGTGAATTTCTAGGCTATCAGAATTTAAAAACTAGGACACTAGGAATAGAAAGTTTATATTAAAATAGATTTTTCAAATGTTGTAGCATTTTTGCCTCCCAGCCCAATTAGCCATTGAGCCCTTTACCCTGAAAGTTATCCAAGCAACAACAAGCCAGTATCTCTGGACATTCAAAAAAGATATATTGTATGCTGTTGCTGTTGTGTACTGGAGAATCAACCAAGAGCTGACCCTCCAGCAGGTTTTCAGGGGCCTTTGATCACACAGAAGGAGACTGCTCATCCTTCTCCCGCAGAACCGCTGGTGGCATCAAAACACGTGCCTTCGGGACTGCAGCACAGTTTCTTGTCACTAGGCCATCAATAGTAACATTTTCTTTTTCAGTAATACAAGAGTTTGAACTTTCATGTGTTTTCTGTTTGTTTTGTTTTAAAACCTTCTCAACTATTACATACATCTTTGAGTAAGACTGATAGTAATGTCTTTAGAAAACAACTTAAAAAAAAGAATACAGTCAATTGAATGGCATTTTGGCTGGTAACACATTCTCACCTCAACTTTCCATCTTTTTCTTCTATGCTGGAGCCTAAATTAGTCCCTGGATCAGTATCCTATCATTACTATGAAGCCACGTGTTTCGGCAGCTGCTAGCAGATGTGTCTGCTTTCCCTAGCAGGCAAAAGTTTTCTTTGGGTTAAAAAAAAAGGAGGAGGAAAGAGAAAATGGAAATGCAGTGTAATTTTATTCTGCTGTCAAGGGCTCTGATTAGTTCATGTCACTAAATTCTTGAGACTAATCCATCTCCTTGTAACTGCTTATTGAGAACTTTATAAGCCTTTACCTGGGGTTCAGATAGGAGCCAACGTCAAGAAGCATACTTTTGGAAATCTATTTCATGGCTTGCTATCCTCTCCTAACAAGTCATTTTGCCCCTTAATCTTCACAGGAACACAGGCAGTGGGAGAAAGACTTGCAATTACAAACGTTAACAGGTGAAGCTAAGAGAAGTCAGCAATAAGTAATTGTCTCCTGCAGGCAGCACTGTTGGAGATTGGCCAGGTATAGAAAGGACCCCCAAGGCAAAGAGGCTGGAGTAAGAGCAGCAGGAAGAATGCAAGATGATATAAGAGCTAAATACGAAAAGCAAGATGCAAAAATAATTATGTAGAACTAGATTCTTAAAACAACTGTCAATCCCTTTTTGGTGAGTAATATCGACTTAATACATATTTTTACATATCTTAATAGCTACAAAATTGATTCCATAGATGAACCAATAACTTGTGGGAATTAAGTATGAAAATGGACAGAATTCATCCTTTCATTGTCTTATCAGTTCATCACTTCCTGGCAAAGTGATATTGAAACACTTATCTACTCTAGAAAACAAGTCAGAACAACTGGAAAGAGAAAATAAATGCTCTTGTAAATTCAAAATGAGAACAATTTAAATTGATTCTGTACCTCTATTATCCATGTAATTAAAAAAGGTAAATATTGTTAAAATTATTTATGTAAATGAGGCATGTTGTTGTTCTATACTATCAAGTTGGAACCAGCTTATAGCTGACCCTTCAGTGGGTTTTCAGAGGCAGTACATTGCACAGGAAAAATTGCTTATCTTTCTCCCAAGAAGCGGCTGTGGATCTGAAACTTGTGTCTCTGAGTTGGCAGCACAATTTCTTACCCATTAGACCACCAAAGTACCTCAGATAAAGTATAACAGGACGAATATTGGGTTAGCACAAGATTAGAGATAGGACATGTATGCGAACAGTACAAATTATAGCAGAGTTTACAAATACCATTTCATGTATTTACTAATATGGATACAAATGAATCATTGCTTTGTATATTACTAAGTAATATACAAAAGGAAAAGGAGAGATTTTTATCATAAAACCTGAACTATTCAGGTGCTTTGATTTTGTTTTTATTAACTATTAAGTAGTATGTTGTTACTGTGTATAGTAATATTAACTAATACAACTAGCATCTTGGTCTTTGCAAGATTTTAATCTATTTCCAACATGTAAGGAAGAAACAGATGCAAGGAATAGGGAAAACTGAGCAAATTAATTGACAGAAAATAAAGAGGAGGACAGAAAATGGGCAAAGGCCAAAGAGAAATAGTGTAATTATTATCAGGGAGCAACATAAGGAAAGGCTCTATGCATTCTCTTTTATAATTCAGTCTCAGTAATTCTCAGTGTTAATGGAAATGTTTTCTTTTATCTAGGTCACATATTAGAGTAATACATAATATCAATGTTAACCACTTGATCTGGAAAAAACTCTAGGCAAGTCAGTACAGATCAACCTAAATTTTTAAACTCTTAAGGTGAGAAAATGAGCCCTTAAAGATGTGGCATTTCATGGAACTCAGGTCTAGTTGGTAAGCTCCTCCAGTGTGATTTACAGCCTCCGACAATCTGCTGGTGTGTCAACTCTAAGTCAATTCAGACTTGACAGCAATGAGTTTTAAGATTCCCGTCTAGAGGAGTCCTGGCAGCACAAGTGATTAACTGTTTGTTTGCTATCTATCCTACAGGTCAGCTATTCAAACTTACCAGGTGTTCCATGGAAACAGGTAAGGCAATCTGCTTCCATAAAGCTTTATAAATCTAGCAACATTATAGGCAGTTCCAATATGTCCTATCAGATCATCGTGAGTTGTAACTGATGTAATTACAGCAAGTTTAGGGCTCCATTGTACATGCAGACTTTTCTGACACTAAGTTCTTAAAACGTATGGAGGCAAATATTTTAATACCATAAACTATTCTAGGATAGTCTACATTTTAATGTATTTGATACCTGGAAAAGTCTTTATTGCATCAATGAATGGAACATTTAAAACCAATGATGCCAATACAGAGCTTCGCTGACTCTCATATATGAAGCAAAGTTCATGTTACTGTTATCTTTCAGGGTAGTACAATGGGTTCTCATCTGAAATACCTACTTCCCCCAGGAAGACTGTCTCGGTCAAAGATGCACAACTTGTATCCAAATTCATTCTCCAAAACTCCACGGAGAGTCAGTAATACAAATTCTTCTTCTTCAGCATTCCTTGCATAAGATACATAAACATCATACTCTTTCCCATCTAGCAAAAAAACACAGATTGAACATAAATTAGAAAGTTTCTTAATAGTAAAACATTTTCCTCCTTAAATCAAATTTCTACATATTGGCCATTTATTTATATCTATCTATCTATCTATCTATCTATCTATCTATCTATCTATCTATCATCTATCTATCATCTATCTATCTATCTATCTATCTATCTATCTATCTATCTATCTATCTATCTATCATCTATCTATCTATCTATCTATCTATCATCTATCTCTATATCTGGAACTCTGTGAACTGATAAGTGTCAATAGTAGTAGAGGGGCTTCAGACCTTTTGTTCACAATGTCACTATGAGTCGTGCTTGACTCAAAGGCAATCAACAAAAACTATATATTCTGTTTGTGACAGATCTTCAGGCAAAATGTCTATCTTGAAGTGTAACTACAAATTTTGCTTCACCTGTCTTCTACTTTCATCTCACTGATTTCCATTTTCTTGGTAGAGACACAGTGAGGTTTGGCTCATTCAACTGTGAATGAACAGAACCTGGGTGCAAACAGTTGTTCAATTAGGTTCTGGCATTGAATATCATGTAAAAAATACGTAGGCCCTGTTCCAGAACGTTACTCACTAGAATATCAGAATTATAAATTGAGTAAAAGTTTTTGAAGTGAAACAATTTCAAAAGAATCACAAAAAATTTCTTTTATTAACTCAGTCTGTTCCCAGGTTGCTTGATTATAAAAATTAACTCTGATGAAAAAACTCCAAATCTTTCTCTCTCCCCAAAACTTTCTGAATTAGAATGCATGGGAGACAGACCCCAAAACACCTATGTTTAAACTTGTCATGCTCATTTGCACGTACATTTACACAAAGCAATGCGAATCACTTGGGAGTATTTGTTGGAACGTCCATTCTGACCCAGAAAGGATTTGGGTTCCAATTCTCCTAAACAACTTCCTGGTGAAGCGGAAGTTACTAGTTCGTGAATCACCCTTGAGCAATAGGAATCTGGACCCCTGCAGTCCAATACAGGAGGCACTGTGTAGTGATTGAGATTTGGGAATATAGCTGGTCTGAATCTACATAATCTGTGAAAGTAAATTACACAACTAGACTGAAGATTTTTCGTACTAAAACAAAAATAAAACCCGAAGTAAAAATGAAGCCCTAACTTTTAATATTGTTTATGCACATGCTGAGGTGATATTTTAATATATTCAATAAGATATGGTGTTTTATGTGCCATTGAGTCGTTTGCGACTCATAGCGACCCTATGTACAACAGCCCCAAACCCTGCTCTATCCTGTGCCAATCGCATTGCCTCTGACACACCCATCCCAACTAACCCAGTCACTGAATCAATCCATCTCATAGAGGGTCTTCCCCTCCTGCGCTGTCCCTCTACTCTACCCACATGATATCTCTCTCCAAAGACCTGTCTCTCCTTGCAACATGTCCAAAGTATGTCAGACGAAGCCCCAGAATCCTTGCCTCCAAGGAGCAGCCTGGTTTAACCCTCTCTAGGATGTATTAAAATTATTTTCACCTAATACAGTTATGAAAAAAGTATAAACTGCATAGATGGTTTGGCATTATGTTTCTAGTTGAACAATGGTACTATGGACTAATCTATTTCCTGAACCAAGGAAGTAGGATACTTACTATACACTGGAAAGACTGTCAATTTTAAGAGCTGAAAAAATATCTTCCAGTTAATCCAACTTGTATCAAGAAAACCTATGTCCTAAAGTAAAAAATAACTGAGTCTACCTACATCCAATGCTGTAACTTACCTAAAATAGTTTCATCTGTTCCAAAATGAGCCCTGTAAAACAGGACCATCTCCAGCCAGTAAACATGGTAGACAACAATAAGAATCACCACCAGCAGGACTGTGACTCCAAAACCACAGGCCAGTTCAACAGTGTACCTTGGTGTTACAACTGCAGTGAAAAACAACAACAAAAGCCAGCATTAATTTCTATTCATTGATCACAGAGTTCCATAGTCCTGGACCTACCTGGATAAGCCAAACATGTGAGAGTATTTGCAGCTGACTTATCCCTGTGAACAATCAAAGAGGGCTGAATTTAAGCACTGTTTTATTATTGTTGTTGTTGTTACGTGCTGTCAAGTTATTTGTGACTCATAATGACCCTATGTACAACAGCTCTAAACTCTGCTCTGTCCTGTGCCGATCTAATTGTCTCCAACACACTCATCCCTATTGCCTCAGTCACGGAATCAATCCACCTCCCAGAAGGCCTTCCCCTCCTGCGCTGTCCCTCTGCCCTCCCAAGCATGATGTCCTTCTCCAAGGACCGGTCTCTCCTTACAACATGTCCAAAGTATGTTAGACGAAGCCTCAGAATCCTTGCATCCAAGGAGCTGCCCTGTTTAACCCTCTCCAGGATGAATCTGTTTGTTCTCCTGGCAGTCCATGGTACCTTCAATACTCTTCTCCAGCACCACAGCTCAAAGGCATCAATTCTCCTTCTGTCGTCCCTGGTCATTGTCCAACTCTCTATTGTTACTATTACTGTTATTATTAATTATATGTATATTTATCTTCTTATATTTAGCAACTTAAGTCTAACTGGCATAAGGAATTTTAACTATTATTAGATCGATGTGAATAGACTGATGAAAAAGAATTTGAAGGATAGGAAAGATTTAAACGTTCCTTGAAGTCACTATTTAATGAGTGACTAATTTTAAAAATGTTTTTGAAAAGTGTCTTTCAGCCTCTGCTCGCCTCGTGTGAGAAGTCACCGCTACTAGTGATTGTAGCAGCTGAACTGAGCACACTTTTTAATCTGTTTCTATTAGATACGGTTTTATTTTCCAGTGCCATATGGAAGATGTTGAATTCTCCTTCCTTTAATATTTAAAAAAGGATGTAAAAATATTATCTTTTGGCAGAAACAGAGGACATTTACAAATGCTGAGTCTGTGTAGTTTTACAATTATCCCCTAGTGCATAATCCTAGGATCCACATTCTACATGATAACTATGTTTCAGATTATAAAAACTTCAATACTTGGTATTTTTGTGGTCCTTTTTTTGAAGGGGGAGGTAATTATAAAAAGTAGAACCATATGATTATTACCAAAAGTCTACATATTAGCTCATTAGTTCTGGAATGAAAGCTTATAAAAACCAAATTATCAACCTGTTTCCTAGCCTCATGTGTTCATTCTTTTCTCAAAAATACCAGAAGATTAAACCATGCTTTTGCTCATTCTGTACCTTCTGGCTGGAATGGTCCTCTTCCCTTCTTTGGAGACTTAGTTCTCAAGTTTACTCCTCAAACTCATAATTTTGGATGTTTCTTTACATAAGGTCTGTTGTTGTTGTTAAGTGCCGTCGAGTCACAGGCGACTCATAGCAACCCTATGAAGGAGAGTTCTCAACGCTTGGGTGCCTTTTATCCTCTCTCCAGGTTCATAGGGTTTCTGGAGGGAGGCTATTTTGGAATCCCGATGTCTCTGTTTATAATTGAATTATATTGTTGTTATCTGCCGTAGAGTTGCTGGCGAATCACAGCGACCTTATGTACAACAGCCCTAAACCCTTCTCTATCCTGTGCGGATTTTATTGTCTCTGAAACACCCATCCCTATTACCCCAGTGACTGAATCAATTCATCTCATTGAGAGTCTTCCACTCCTGCACTGTCCCCCCACCCTCCCAAGCATGACATCCCTCTCCAAGGACTGGTCCCTCATTGCAACATGTCCAAAGTATGCAGATGAAGCTTCAGAATCCTTGCCTCTAAGGAGCAGCCTAGCTTCAAGCTCTCCAGGACGAACTTGTTTGTTTTCATAGCAGTCCATGGTATATTCAACATTCTTCTCCAGCACCACAGCTCAAAGGCATCAATTCTCCTTGTATCAAGCCTAGTCATTGTCCAGCTGTCTGATGCACATATATAATTACAGAATTCTGATTGTATTGTAATTTACCTATACTCTTTTTCACCCACTAAATTATGCAGGGGGCTTAGTGCTAAGAAGCTGTGCTGCAATCCTGAAGGATGAAGTTTGTATCCACCGGCTGCTCTGCAGGAGATGAATGAGCAATCTCACCTTGATAAACTTGTGGGAAGGTCAACTGGTTCCAAATGCATGGTTCACAACAACGACAACACCAAGGAAACCAAGTCACCTAGAGAGCTCTGGTGACAGAGTGGTAAGGAGTTAATGCTGCCACTGCAAAGACATGTGGTACAAATGCACCAAGTGCTCCGTGGGGAAAAAGACTGGCAATATCTGCCTGTGCAATCCACTGCCTCTAAAAACCCACTGGAGGGTCAGTTATGAGTCGGTTCCAAGTTGACAGCACATACCAACAGCAAGAGAGCTCTTGTAGAATAGACCGTAGACAGTTCAGCTGCTAAGCTCTCCAGTGGTTTGAATCCACTAGTGGCTCCAAGGGTGATATTCTCCCTTGCAATTAACTTTATGGCTCAGAAACCAAATGGTGTGGCAGCTATAGGCAGTTTCAACTCAACTGCCAAGGAATGAATGAGCCAGTTAGTGAGTGAAATGAAAACTATACCTTTTTCTCAACTATTCTAACTCTGAAATATCTAGTTTATCAATTGAGCATTTACAATGTAGCATTTCATGCTTTGACAAACTGAACAGCTTCATTTGTTTTCTACTTTTACTAGGATGTGATAATGATTCTTAAAAAGGTTGGATAAGGCATGTTGTTGTTATGTGCCACTGAGTTGCCGGCAACTCCTAGCAACCCTATGTACAATAGGCCTAAAACCCTGCTCTATTCTGTGCCAATTTTATTGTCTCTGATGCACCTACCTCCATTACCCCAAACACTGAATCAATCTACCTCATTTAGGGTCTTCCTCTCTTGTACTGTCCTTCTACCCTCCCAAGCATGACATCCCTCTCCAAACTGGTCACACTTTGCAACATGCACAAAGTATGTCAGGTGAAGCTTCAGAATCCTTGACTCCAAGGAGAGCCTGGCTTCACCCTCTCTAGGACAAACTTGTTTGTTCTCCTAGCAGTCCATGGTATATTCAACTCTCTTCTCTGATACCACAACTCAAAGGCATCAATTTTCCTTCTATCATCTTTAGTCATCGTTCAGCTTTTCGATGCATCGCAAGTAACTGCAAAGTTTATAGCCTGGGTCAGGCACACCTTAGTCTCCAGGATGATATTGTTGCTCTTCAAGGTCTTCTTTGACAAGGTCTCTGACAGCAGACTTTTCCAATGCAATCCATCTTTTGATTTCCTGGCTGCTGGTACCAAGGGTGTTGACTGTGGAGCCAAACAACTTAAAGCTGTTTACAATCTCAATCTCTTCACCATCCATCATGATGCTGCCAATTGGCCCAGTGATAAGAATTTTTGTTTTCTTGATGTTGAGCTATATGTAAGGCTGCAGTCTTTGACCTTCTGCAGCAAGTGCTTCAGATGTTCCTCAGTTTCAGTATGCAGGGTTGTGCTATCTGCATAACCCAGATGGTTGAGTTGACCTTCAATCTGATGTCAGATTTCTCCCCATAGAGGCCAGCCCCCCAGATAATCTGTTCTGTATACAGGCTGAAAAGGTATGGAGACAAGACACATCCCTGGTTTACGCCCTTCCCAGTTTTGAACCATGCAGTGTTTCCTGACTATGTTCTGATGACTGCCTCCTGGTCCAAGTATAGGTTTCACATTAGCATGATCAAGTGTTCTGGGATTCCCATTCTTCTCAGAAGTCAGCCACAGTTTGTTACGATCCACACAGTCAAATGCCTTTGCATAGTCAATTAAACACATATAGACATTCCTCTGGTACTCTCTGCTTTCAGCCAAGACCCATCTGACATTAAGCTATAATATCCCTACTCTCATGGCCTCTTCTAAATCCAGCCTTCACATCAGGCAGTTCTTTGTTGATGTGCTGTACCAGTTGTTTTTGGATAATCTTCGGCAGAATCTTGTTTGCACGTACTATTTAACTGAATTGAAAGCAGGGGTAGCCTAAATTATTTATCTGCTGACTTGATAATTACTTACTGAACATGTACTGTTCATTGGCTGAAGCTTTTAGGGATACTGTCTTATAAAAATAGAAAGTGGCATTGCTTTCCTGGATCTAACGCTACTTCAAAGCAGAATGAGTAAATAAAGAAGTCTGATAATCCTAGATAGTAATCATTGCTGGAAAACAAACAAACCAGTTTAATGTTACAGGGGTATAGGGCTGAGAAAAGGGAGGTGCACTAGCTGGGGTGCTATGGGTAGCTTCCTTTGGGTCTCTGGGAGCCTGCAGGTGTTAACTGTAGAGCCAGGACCAGAAGCGAGGAGGGAGCTCTTTTCTCAGGGAAAATTTCTAAGGGAGGGAGAGAAGCTCCTAATATTGCAGATAACACCTATAATGATAGGAGCTGAGAGCAGCTGCAATTCTGCAAGGTATACTTCTTATCACACTGAGCAGAAAAAGGTTCCCCTACATGGAAAATGAAGGATATGCCTGGATGTATGATCCCCTCCCCCTCTCAAGAAGGGTAACAGGAACTTCTCTCCTAAGGCTGTAAAAAGACTGAACCTCAAAAGGTTTCCACTGTATACTGAAACCCACCTATATGTTTTCCTTTGTCTGCATCCTTATGATAAAACCCTGAACGAAACAGGTCAGAAAACCCAGCCCTTTTGGATTTGAATCTGGCTTGCTGGCTTTCCTCTCACTAAAGAAGCAATCCTGGTGACTTAACGCTGATGTGTCACCCCTGGGTCTCATCTTGCAACAGAAGAACTGCCTTCAAAGCTGGCTGGGCTATTAAGACTGGACTCCCTAACTCCAAAGTCCAGGCACCTTTGTACAACATTACCAATAAGTTCAACTATTGATCTTACATTATTGTTGTTTTGTGTGGACGAGGAGATTCCCACTGATAATAACCACATATACATGAAAAATT